TAGTTTAGCTACATTAGGGTAGCTGATTTCTACACAACATTGTAATTATTAGTAAACAGTTTAGCTACATTAGTTGAGCTGATTTCAACACAACATTGTAATTATTAGTAAACAGTTTAGCTACATTAGTTGAGCTGATTTCAACACAACATTGTAATTATTAGTAAACAGTTTAGCTTACATTAGGGTAGCTGATTTCTACACAACATAGTAATTATTAGTAAACAGTTTAGCTACATTAGTTGAGCTGATATCAACACAACAGTAATTATTAGTAAACACTGAAAATTTCATTATAGTTGGCAATAACATCCTTTTGTTCAAATCTTACGATATACATTTTGTTCTGTTGCTGGAAAACGCTTATCCTAAAAATAACAGTTTTCCAACTTTTTCAGTATTCAATAAATACAACTTAAGTTGATCTTCAAGTCTGAGGAATAAACTGGAGACTAAAATACTTTGTTTAATAATCTGACCATCTTGTATGTCTAACACATCAACTAAAATCTAAAAATTTATTTTGCTCAAAATCATGAAATATAGGTTGATATGCAAGTTTTGTTTTAAATTTTTTCAGATTTATTTGTGTTCACTGCGAGATGATGCTTTAGCAATTTTTACAGCACATAATGATATATCAACGCCACCTAACAACATATTCTAAGTAACTTAACTTCTTGTTTCTGGTACAAAGCTACATGGTGGACTATCTGCACTCTGGAGAATCGAACCCAGATTTTACCATCGTAAGTCCATAAACTAAAGCTACCAACTGGCTAAAGCAGATTATTATTATTTTCTTACTGTGCCAATTACAAAAAAAGAAGCAAAAAATAATTATATTTTAAATATTATACATCTCAAATGTTAAAAAATTATGATTAATGCAACAAGTATAATATTAGCCTTAAAAACAAGTCTACTAAATGTACAGGTTTCTATGAAAAACTACCAATTACCAGAATCAAAATCATTTATTTCCAATGTTTAATATTACAGTTAATCAAAGTTAAACCCATAACTAATTAACTTTGTTACCATAGCATCACGCCTTGAGTATTTTTTTATATATTTAAGAGTACAATGTTGTAATATTCAAAGAAACATAAGAAAAAAATACAAAAAATTTCCTATTGTGCAAAAACAGAAACATGTTTTTGCACCTTTAAAATTTGAAATGTATTTTAAGAATGTTACATTTCATTAACTTTCTTGTTCCATAAGTAAACGTATTAATAGTTATGTAAGGCTGTTTGTAAAAATTCTACCTTTTTTCTGAAATAGGAATGATTGATATTAGTGTAAGAAAAAGTTGACACGAGTTGTATAAATAAGTGATAATTAGGGTCTGAAGTGACTAATTTTTGATAGTGGATAAATACATCTAAAACTAGCAAGGATAGTAATGTTTAAATGCACTTCAATTTACTAAAATTGATGGCAAAAAGATTAAATAGCTTTGACTGAATTAATACATAAAAGTGTAATTTAAATTTCGATTATAGAATATGAAGGGGGGAATGGTCCTTCTCAAGGCGGGGATCTATGGATCCAATAGAAGTAATTTTGGTGGGGGGGAGTATGCTGAGAAAACCCACTTTCACTTATCAGGTTCCAAATATTCTACCTGATCAATACTTGAATGGTTAAGGGTTAACTGGAGATTAAGAAGCTTTTTCCTACTTTTATTTATTTTCCTAAAAAAGGCTATAAATCTTGGGATTTGGATGGGTTGAGGGCTACGCACTACTCGTTGCAGCAATCTGACAATGCATTGAGTGATATTTGGACCCTAAATGTTGCATATTGAGACTCAAGTGTATGATTTAAGGAAGGGAACGGGATATCATTGACAAAGAGGTTATATAATGTGGTCTTAACACTGGCTCTTGGGGGACACTGGTTTTGAATGTGAAGGGCCTAGAAGTCACATTGTTGATCTTAACTTTAGCTGTTCTGTCAGTAAGAAAGCTGGATATCCAGCATACAATAGGGGTGGGTATGTGGTAATCAATTAGTTTATATCAAAGTTCGTTGTGCCATACCACATCAAAGGCTTTTAGGACGTCAAGAAATGTAGCTATGGTTGTATGTTCTCTGTTGAAACCTTGATAGATGTTTTTGATAAGTCCAATGAGGTGGTCTGTGGTTTGTATATATTTTCTGCCTGAATTCTGTATGTTGTAATTAATATTTTTGGTTTCTAGGTAAGCGTTTAACCAGTTTGTGATTAATTTCTCCATCAACTTACCAAAGGTGTTTATCAAACTAATGGATTTGTAGCTGCCAGGATTAGTTTTTGTGTTTTTTTGGGGGGATCACCTTTATAATAGATGATTTCCAAATAAATGGGTAATACCCTGACAATATTAAATTATCAATTGTTACTAAATGGGTTATGATTTTCAGGATTCAATTGTTAATTTCATCTTCTCCTGGAGCTTTGCGTTTTATTTTCCTAAGGTTAATTTTGATTTCTCCTAAAGTTATAGGGCAGGTATACAAATCATCAGAACCAGAAATTAATGACATAGAAACAAAGAAGTTCAGTGAAAAAAAAAAATGTTGATTATTAGAAATGTGTTGATTTACATTGCATGTCAAATGAGTTGAGATTTGGGTTACAAAGATACTTTCAAAATATTGGGCAAAAAGTTCACACTGTTTTTTTTATTGGTAGTAGCAGTGTTGTTATTATATTGAAATTTATTTATGGTGTTGGTTGATTTGTTGTTTGTTAAAGATTTAAAATTCTGCCAGAATTTGGAAGGGTCAGGTTTGGATTTATCTATTGATAGGCAGAAGTTATCATGTTGTTGCTGTAATACAAGTTTCTTAATAAGATTATATCGATGGCATTAATGAGTGGTTTAAGTGTAATGTCATGGGTTCATAAGAAGTAGTGTCTGAGTCATCTGTGGGTATTTATTAATTCATGCTATCACTTCCATGTACCTGTATCTAGTATCATATTCACTAATACAGGATCATCATTGACAATGACTGATCAGGTGAGAAATACATCAATACGCAATAATTAACATTTAATTCAGAACTCATCTTGTGTATCCACAAGCTTTCCTTAGTGCATAGCATTTCTTTACTATCCACACTCCCCAAAATGTTAAAGTGACATTTGTGTCACACTCCTGAAAACAGTGGTGAAGGATGGATGACTGATTACATAACACAGTGTGTCATAGTCCTGTAAACAGTGGTGAAGGATGGATGACTGATTACATAACACAGTGTGTCATAGTCCTGTAAACAGTGGTGAAGGATGGACGACTGATTACATAACAGTGTGTCACAGTCCTGTAAACAGTGGTGAAGGATGGATGACTGATTACATAACACAGTGTGTCATAGTCCTGTAAACAGTGGTGAAGGATGGACGACTGATTACATAACACAGTGTGTCACAGTCCTGTAAACAGTGATGAAGGATGGACGACTGATTACATAACACAGTGTGTCACAGTCCTGTAAACAGTGGTGAAGGATGGACGACTGATTACATAACACAGTGTGTCATAGTCCTGTAAACAGTGGTGAAGGATGGATGACTGATTACATAACACAGTGTGTCACAGTCCTGTAAACAGTGGTGAAGGATGGACGACTGATTACATACTGTGTTTTGTGCATGTTCTATAATACGTAAGCTCAGACAATGTATTGTACAGCCCACATAGCCCAGGTTACACCTTGGACATGTAAATTTATATATGATGTAAGATTGAAGCGTTATAGGAATCCTGTCTTTATATATTTAAAATAATTACTTAAATAAAACATCGGTTTAAAGACAATTCTAAACTTAATTAACAAATAAAGCAGAAATCTTTCAATACACATATCTATGCTAGTAACTTTTGTGAACATACCTTTATGTCCAAGCATGACAGCAAGATGAAGAGGTGTGTTTCCTTTAAAAAGAAAACATTTAAGAAAAACATTAAACATAATAAAAAATAATGCAGACCAAGTATTACTACAGATTAAACTAAAAGATATACAGATTCAGCAACTGGAAAAAATACCAACTACACGAAATTTCAGCATTTTGATTTTTGGCCAGCATTTTTTTTAAAGGTTAACCATAAAAATTACCAAATTTAGCAAATATAAAACATATCTAATCACAGTAACCATGGCTTATATATAATTTCACAATCCACCAGGAAAGAGACATATGAAAATTAAAATATGGTTCCCATATCCTGAAGAATCTACAGTATCACAGTCAAGAGTAAACCAATCATTTCATTCAGAAAAAGTAATCCTGACCTACCTTCACCCTATGTTATAATGAAATCTATCACAAATACATTCTATTAATCTTCTGTACTACTAGATTAACCAACATTTTACAGATTAGTAAATGATAATGGGTAAAGTTACTCCTGTTCCACAGATTCAAGCTAAAAATCCAACTAATAAAAGATTTTATAAGATCCTACCTTTGAAAATAACATTTTCTTCAGTTAATTGGCACTACATGTTAAATGTATGATAAGTGAATCAACTTAAACACACAGAGCTGAGTAACAAGTGGAATTTGCTAATTAACCATCAGACTCATTAATTACCTTCAACTAAATGATTATTCTCACATAAACCTAGTTTTCCTATTTACAACTTGTTTTTAGACATTTTTGATATACCATTTATTTAAGACCCAGTGCCATGAAAAACTCTGCTCTGATATGGCCAAGCCTTTCTATATTATATTACTGATTTGACAAATGACTACTTTTACACTTTTGTTTGTAGTTAATATGCATCACAGGTACAGTGTATGAAACTAATAGATCACAAAGACGACAAACATGGCATGATCCTTTCTTTTGTTTTTGTGTTCATCACACACACCGACAGTTATTAGTTTCAATGATTCCTGATATCCAATTGAAAATTTGAAAGTTGTGTTGAAATCAGCTCAAGTAATGTAGCTAAACTGTTTACTAATAATTACTGTTGTGTTGATATCAGCTCAAGTAATGTAGCTAAACTCTTACACTAAATGACATTTTTTGTTTTCTATCAAAACACAGTAAAACATTAGTTCACATTCAAAATCCATTCTACAGCTCTATATTCTTACACTAAATGACATTTTTTGTTTTCTATCAAAACACAGTAAAACATTAGTTCACATTCAAAATCCATTCTACAGCTCTATATTTTTATACTAAATGCCATTTTTTTGTTTTCTATCATCCATTGTTATATTCTATACTAGCTGGAGTACCTGTCCATTGTTATATTCTATACTAGCTGGAGTACCCATCTATTGTTATATTCTACACTAGCTGGAGTACCTGTCTGTTGTTATATTCTATACCCAATTCATGACCTTCCTCATGTTATCGTATATAACTGTGTCAGGTTTGGTGCTGATTGATCAAGAAATGAGGAAATGTATAAGGAACAGATAGCTGAAAAGTGCAAACAAACAGACACAAACTTAGCTTTATACATTATATATACTAAACTGCATGACACTTTTGATACACAGTTTCTTTTTAGGACTGTGTAAAAACCATTTTATTGTACCAGAAACCACTTGTTGAATTGTCATTATAATTTGTGAGAGAGAGTGTAGACTACTTAAATTTTAGTTTTTCAAACACATTCTAAGTAAAGAAAATGTACTAAAATACAGTAAAACATTAGTTCACATTCAAAATCCATTCTACAGCTCTATATTCTTACACTAAATGACATTTTTTGTTTTCTATCAAAACACAGTAAAACATTAGTTCACATTCAAAATCCATTCTACAGCTCTATATTGGATACACCAGCTGGTATAGGATATAACAATGGATGGATACACCAGCTGGTATAGGATATAACAATGGACAGGTACTGCAGCTAGTGTAGAATGTAACAATAGATGGGTACTCCAGCTAGTATAGAATATAACAACGGACGGATACTCCAGCTAGTATAGAATATAACAACGGACGGATACTCCAGCTAGTATAGAATATAACAAT